ACCGGCATTCCCAAATACTTGCCTAAATCTCGTGTAGACTTAATTCCACTCTCCTCACTAATTAGCTTCCCCAAGTCTCTAGATACATTCTTAGAAAAATATATCTTCGACTTCTCCAAACTAACTTTTTGCCCAGACGCCTTGCAAAATGTTTCCAAGATCCTCCTTAATATTCGAATTTGCGAGACAGAAGCTTCCGCAAATAAAATAAGATCATCCGCAAAGCATATATGGGAGAGTTTTGGTCCTCCCTGCGAAATACTAATCGACTTCCACTCCTTCTCGTAGACAGATCTATTGATCATATGGCATAATCTCTCCATACACAACACAAAGAGATATGGAGAGAGCGGATCTCCTTGCCGGAGTCCCCGCATAGGCTGGAAAGAGTCGGTTTTCTCACCGTTCCACAAAAGATTCATAGACGGACCCGAAACACAACGCATTATCCATCTAGTCCACTTCTCCGATAAACCCGCGGCTACCAGTGTGTCCTCCAGAAAGTCCCAGCAAATTCGATCATACGCTTTTTCCAGGTCCAGCTTCAACAACATCCAACCTTTTCGTCCTTTCTTGCGACGCATGGAATGAACCGCTTCTTGGACTACCACAATATTATCCACACTTAACCGTCCTGGAATAAAACTCGCTTGGTACGGTCCAACCAATTTATCCATTACACATTTCAACCGCCCCACCATAGTCTTTGTAATGATTTTGAACAACACATTACAAAGACTAATCGGTCTGAATTGTGTAATCCTCTCTGGTTTAGCTATCTTCGGTATTAGCACTAGCAGTGCATTATTTGTATCTCGCGGTAACACACCCGAATCAAAAAAGTCCAGAACGAATTTAAGCATCGATTCTCCAACCACTTCCCAACAATCTTGGTAGAAAACGGGCTGAAACCCATCCGGACCCGGTGCCTTAAACTTCCCCATAGACTTCACCGCCTTGACGACCTCAGCTCTCCCAAACGGTTTGTTCAACTCCCGGATCTCATGACTAGCTATTCTCGGGAAACCAAGTTGCGGTAGTGACTCCACCACCTGCTCCACATCATCTAGAGAGTATAATCTCTTGTAATAATTAGTGGCCAACTGCTCAAGTTCTGAAGGCTCAGAAACCCATACTCCCTCATCCGATTTCAGCAACTCAATTTTATTTCTCCTTCTCCGTATCACCGTAGAGATATGGAAAAACTTCGTGTTACGTTCCCCTAACGCAACCCATTTCTCCCTAGACTTTTGGAACCAGAGCATTTCTTCTTGTTCTAAGACCACCTCAAACTCCTTAAGTAGCTCATCCTCTCGGGTTAGCAATGCATCTGTCGGGCTATGCTCAAGAAGATCATGTATCACCGTGATCTCGCCCATGAGCTTCTCTTTCCGTAACTGCACATCCCCAAACACCTCCTTATTCCACCTTCGCAGAGTTATTTGTAACTGATCCAAAGCTTCCGGAGTTGAAATATCACTATTCCAAGACGAAGTTAAGAGATCTTTGAAACCGGAGTGACTCAACTACGCAGCCTCAAACCGAAACGGCCTTCTCTTAGGATTCCCTTTCACCTCGGGCTCCAATTGGACGTATAACGGCGCGTGATCCGACGCCAAATAAGGGAGATGTGTTACCACTGCTTCCTGCCACTTCAGCCTTGCTTGCGGGCAACACAATACTCGGTCTAAGCGCTTAGCCACATACCACCTTTCATCCCGTCCCCTTCTCCATGTATATTTACTCCCTCGAAACCCCATATCGATGAGAGACTGACCACTGATCCAGTTTCCAAAAGCTAGAGAATCAGGTGACAATTTTCCATTTCCCCCTGTTCTATCATCTAGTCTTACAATCGTGTTAAAGTCGCCTCCCACCAACAGCGGACCATCAACACTTCCAATTACCTCACTAAGCCGGCTCCACAGTCCACTCCTCCGACTGACCGATGGAGCTGCATAGACAACAATTAGGTGCCATACTTCTTGGTCCCTTGTTATCTTCGCGTGAATAAACTGCTCCGCAGCTTCAACTATCTCCGCCAGACCCGTTTCAGCTCTCCACAGCAGCCATAGTCCCCCACTCTGTCCCGCAGCATCAACACAAAAAGACTGATCAAAGCCCAACCCTTGACATATACGCATTGCTCTCTCACCGCCAGCATGCGTTTCAAACACCGCTAAGATATCAGTCCTGAATTTCTTCAAAATGTATCGAATAGAACATCTAAAATTGGGTTTATTTGCCCCCAGGCAATTCCATAAGATGCAATTCGTCATATCTTCATATAAATAATAAGGAAAAACCGGGGAACCGTGCTATGCCTTCTCGGAGTTCTGTTCATGAGGAACCCCTGTACCCAGCCTCGCGATCTCCATCTGTCCTGAACCGCCACCCATGTTCTGGACTAACAACCGCTCTCCTTCTCTAGGTACTGTCCCCGAGTCTCCATTATCCGTCCGACTACCATTCTCAGCCATGAACACCCCTCCTCATCGACCAAGGCTGCGATTTGCAACTCTGAGTCTCTTCCCCGAGTTTATTAATTCCCTCTCTTCACTCATAGGCCCAAAAATCAATCCTCGTGTGGGCCTATTTTGTTTCATAATTTTGGGCCTATGCCTCTTCTGTTCAACAGGCTTAGATACTCTGGCCCGTTCATCCTGCTTAGGCCCACCCGACACATTCTTTTCAAAACCCCGACCCGCGCCAAATACCACCTCCTTGCCTTGCGCCCCAATATCCGCCCCTTTGCTCTGATTCCCAAAATGCTCATTTTCCTTATTTGCACCCGAAATCAATTCACTCCCACCAATACCGGAAACTACCATATCCTCTACCAGATTTCCAAATCTGTTGGATGTCGCAATATTCCCAGAATCCTTCTCTTTAGTGATATCCCGCAGATTCCGGCCCATCACCGTATTCAAGCTCACCGTCGACCCACCCGTATCCTTCACCGGTCTCCTGCCATTCCGCTTAACCAACATAAAACCCTCATCACCATGTTTCTCGTTGATTGTAGATGGCTTCACTGCCTGTTGGATTACGGGCACCACCACGGAATTCTCCACAACTTTTTTAGGACAAGCATGGACCAAATGCCCATATAGACCACATAGGGAGCATATGTTTGTCAGACCTTCATACGCCACATAGTATCGCTCCCCATTCACCATGACTGTCCCTTTGAGAGGTTTCTGCAAGTTCACTTCCACACACACCCGCGCGAACCTGGCTCTCTCAAAGTTAAGCGTTGTCAAGTCAACTTTGATCGGTTTTCCCAACCCTCGAGCAATCCCCATCAAGATTGATCTATGATAAAAATTGACCGGAATATTGGATAACCGAACCCACACCGGCGTTGTCGTAATCTCATCACGTAACGGATCAAACTCCGGCGTCCAAGCTTGAACCATTAAGTAGCTCCCAAAAACTCTCCACGGACCTCCCGTTAGAGCAGCCAAGTACTCTTCCTCCTCATCAAACCTGACCATAAAGAAGTGACGCGGCAAGTCCATCACGTGCATCGCTCCCTTTGGCTTCCACAGCTCCCTTAATTTCCTACTAACCACCGAAATCGAGATGTTCCTCCCCAACACTTTAACAATCATACATCTCTTCCACAAACCGTTCATAGCCTCCAACATTTCCCTCCCAATCGTTATAACCGGTTCGCCATCATCCCCATTCGGAAACTCCAACTCCATCCGCTCAGCCACAAACTCATCCTTCAACACACTCTCCGGTCTCACCATTCCACCGCCAACATTCCCTACCACCTTCTCCACCCAGGACCGCCGGCCATCTGGTGGATCCTCCGGGGGTCGATCCCTGTCTCCCGTGTCCATCACGATGTCCTCGTGAGCCGCCACCGAAGAAACCCTAGAATCGCCCTCGCTCTCCATCTCCATTTCTCTGAAATTATTCCCTAGCTACTAGCACATTTCGGTAAGTGTTATCTTTTTTCATTAGATACAATTTAAAACTGATGATTCTAATAATGTTTATTTTCTTTAATAGGTACCAAATGATCTTGGTTTCGTCGTTAGAGTGCTTGAGATTGCATCATGCTCGGTCCAGACGGAATGGGCAGAAATGCAACCGCATAAAGCTCAGCATTTTAAAAATTTCTTATAAAAGAAACTCCAATTTATTTTAAAAAATTAGATTTTGGTCAAGAAATTCGATTTTAGTATATTTGGGCCAATAATTTAAAGTTTTAGGATAAATCTATTAAAAATAGGCCCATTAATTTATACAGATGTGGCTCTAGACAGTTACTTCTTAATTTATACACCAATTCACCATTTATATATATTAAGAATTTCACAATTAATGTAGCATGTTTTCGTTTTCCTCATTAGATGGGCCTATTTAAGGATTAAGGAGTAAACTTTTGTGGTATCAAACCCAAGATGTTGAAAGATGCAGACTATGGCTGCAAACCCCAACATTTCAAGAAACGCAAGCACAGAAACGGACAGCCAGATCAAGAAAAGCTGGCTAATAGGTTTGCATTGTCCCGGTTCATGTTTACAGCTTCGAAGAACCGAACAATATCGAATAATAGGACAAAGAAGATCAAGATACTATCCTCAAACACAAGCTGGGTTATTCTTCATCTTTCATCTACCTTAAGGCAACAAGATAAAGTTCAATACTTTAAATTGCAAAGAGCAGGGTTTGATTGAGCTAATTAACATGACCAGATCTGAAACAGCATCCACTTACTGAAACTGTTATTCATATTTTGCTACTACTACTCAAAGTTCTCACTAAATTTTTGTAATCAAACAAGAAGGTTAAACCATCCTCTGTAATAGTTGCAATAGATTAACCCTTTAACAAAAATAACAAAAAACATCGAAAACAAATATAGAACCCAAGATCAAATTATAGTAAACTACAATCTCTTCTCCAATTCATCATATAGAACCCAATATCAAATGGGTAAAACCACACAGAACACACTGTAGTAAAGTGAAGCTTCTCAAAACTAGGAATTAAGTCTTCACCTTTCATTGACCTCAATTCAACAAGATATCAAGTTCAACACTATAAATTGCTTAAAAGCATAGTTTGATTGAACATATGAACATGACCAGAATCTGAAACAGCATCCACTCATCAAGTTCTCACTACAAGTTTTCATAATCAGACCAAAAAAGGTCAAACCTTCCTCTGTTGAGTTGCAATTGAAAGCAAATATGCATATCTCTCACATCTCACTGGCAGATCAAGTAAACTACAATCTCGTCTTAGATTCATCATATAAACACGACCAGATCTGAAACACAAGCTGGTTTTAATCTTGACCCTTTCATCTACCTCAAAACAACAAGATAAAGTTCATCACTTTCAATTTCTAAGAGCAGAGTTTGAGCTTATGAACATGAATAGATACGAAACAGCATCCACTTACTAAAACTGTGATTCATATGTAAGCAAGAAGAGCACTGAAACCAAGATAAACATATCCCTCACATATTCTCATTGGCAAACTAAGTAAAACAACAATCTCTTCTCCAATTCATCATATAGAACTCAAGATCAAATTGATTAAACCACACAGAATAGTGAAGTGAGCTAATTAAAAACTACGAATCAAGATTCATTCCTCAACACAAGACAGATTAAATCTCCACCTCTCATCTATCTCAACTCAACAAGATATAAAGTTCAACACTTTCAATTGCTTAAAAGCAGAGTATGATCAAGTAGTTAATGAACATTGACAAACCAAGTAATACTACAATGTCTTCTTCAATTCATCATATAAAACCAAAAGATCAAATGTTACAAAAACCACCATTGTAGTAGCTAACTTAACAATAAAAACAAGAACAAGAGAGAAAACTCTAACCTTACAAAGCAAAGCTCTTAAGAAAATCAGGATCACGTTTAGCTTTCTCCTGAAACTTCTTAAACCAACGATCCAAAATATCCATAGGAACAACCAATTTACTTCCATCAACACCACAAAAAGACTGCATAAAGTTAAACAAATTCTCTCCAACTTTCATAGCTAATTTCTCAATCCTCCTCTCCGCCACAACATCCAACGACCTCAACGCCGTTATATCCTCAACCGAAACACCGATTTTCGCTGATAAAGAACTCGAATCACCCGCCGTGAGTTGCATCTGAGCAGCACTACCAGGTTCAGGCCATTGAAGAGACAACACAGCTGATGGTCTAGCTAAAGTAACAGCACCACAGAAGACAAAAGCTGATCCTGGAGATTGGAGATAAACAGCTAAAGCTTTATCTGGTGGAAGATTGAAATTGTTTAACAAGAAGATACACATCTCTGAGATTTGATCATATGCTTCACCTGTAAGAAAGATAAAGATTGGATTTTTCGATTAGGGTTTTTGATTTTGGGAATTAGGGTTTTGAAAAGTTTGGTTTTTGGGAGATGGGTACTTACCGACGAAGTGGTTCATGTCCAGAACCCAGTGGAATGTGTCGATTTGAGTGAAGGTTGAGATGTCGAGTGGGAAACTTCGATTGGGGAAGACGACTCCGAACATTGTTGATGTTTAGGGTTTTTTTTTTAGGAATTTTGATTTTTTTATTGTGAGTGAGTGTTTTGAAGTTGTGTTGGTGATGGACTGATGAAGAAGATTGAGAGAATTGAGGATGATTCTAGAAGATTTGAGAAAGAGCTAATGTAGTTTCTGCACGAAGACTTTTTTTTTGTGTGGGTGTGTGAGTGAGTGACCACATAAAAAAAAGATTTGACAATTCTTTTCTAGTAAGAAAAATAAACCAAAAGACTAAATTGTAAGAGAATTTAATTTACCTATAGATGAGAAAAAAAAAGAAGGAAATTTAGCTAAATATATATTGTTTTCTATTTTTATCAAACTAAAATAGTATACCTCCCTTGATTTATTGGTTGGCTAAGGGTTAATTAATGATTTTACACCAAGAGGTCTGATGTTCGAATCCCATATATTGCGATTTATTAACAAATTTGCAGAATAATGGAGTCAAGTGTGTAAGAGATAACAAATTTGCAGATTAATAAAGACAAGTGTGCAGATTAATAAAGACAAGTGTGCAAGAGATCTCTAACTATATACAATTATAGCCGTTCGTCAGGAATCTACGCAGAAAATGAAGTGTCATCATTGAATGTGTCCATCAGACAGAATCGATGCAAACCGAATTACCAATATGGTTTATTTACATGCATATAAGAAATATTTTGTTCATGTAAACGTTTTCAAATTAGAAAATAGGATCATTTGTTGTCTTCTTCTTCATTTTTCTTTAGAATCTTTTGTGCTTAAAACCATTTTGTGAATATATTTGCTAAACTTTAATGAAGTAATAAAAAAAACTTACTTGTACTCATCTTACAAGACTAAGAACAAGAAATGATCTTCTCTCTACTTAAAAAGATTAATGTTATTTACACGTTTTGCATAAAGAGACAAAAGTCACGTGAACCAATGACTTTTCTTATAAGTTCACTCGTTTGAAATTTTGTTTACTTTGCAAAGAAACTTCTCATTTCTTTCTCTCACCATAAGCTTTGCCTTATATAAGGCTCCATAAAATTAAAGGCTTTAATAAAAGAGAATTTATAGTAAATAGCCATGGATTTAAAAAGAATTAAGAAAATAGCCATGAGTTATAGTACTTTGTCTGTTGGATGTCGGAAAGCACGTGTAATTACACACATACCCTTTATAACATGTTTTTTTCTCGAATTACATGTGATAGAATAATATATCTCTTTTTATCATATTATTTTCCGGTTTTACACGTTATTTATAAAGAGCACATGATATTTTTTGAAAAAACACTCTATTCAGTTTAATATCTTTCTCTATCATGTTATTTTATAGTAATACACGTTTTATATTATGATCACATGTGATTTTCTATAAAAAAGATTCTTATTTTCTAGTAATTCACGGTTTTTATTAAGATCACATGTTATTTCTTTGAAGAAAAAACACTCTATTCAGTTTAATATCTTTCGCTATCATGTTATTTTGTAGTAATACACGTTTTTTTATTATGATCACATGTAATTTCTTTAAAAAAACGATTCTTATTTTCTAGTAATTCACGGTTTTTATTAAGATCACATGTTATTTCTTTATAAAAAGATTCTATTCAAGTTTAATTTTTCCGTAACAATGTTTTTTAAAAAAAAAACACTATGTAACAATGTTTTTTCTTAAAAATTCACTACGTTTTTTTAAATAGCATGTATTTTAGTTAAATATAACATGTGAAATTTAGATCTTACGTGTTATTTTGAAAAATATCACGAAACAATGTCGCCTACTGTAGATCTCAAAACAAACGGAGGATGGTTTTGTTATTGGAAAATACTTGGGTTCACGGTTCACCCCTAGGGGTGAACCTCTCTATTCACCTCCTCATTTTTTAACCAATAAAATTATGACATGTGATATTATATTTAAATAAAGTAATAAACTAAATCTAAAATCAGAAAAACAAGGAAACAAAACTTTTACATAAACTAACGTCAATGTTGACGTCTTATTTTGACGTTAAGTACCTTTTTTAATATCATTTATTTTATAGAGAGATATAGATTAAGGTTGGATGTATATCTTTGTATAAAATAAAAAAATATTTGGGTTTATTATTAGAGATGAGTCTTTTTATTTATCTCTTTTTTCTAACCAATTAAAATACTGATATTTTATTTAATTATTTGTAAAATTTAGTCTGCTACCAAAACGCAGTTACATATCAGTTTGGATTTATAAAGAAGAGTTAGGATATATATTTTATGATTAAACGAAGTCAAATATTGGTTTAGGTTTATAAACGCATTTAGATTTTACAATTAAACAAGTTTAAATATTGGTTTAGGTTTATACAAACGGTTAGGATTTAAATTTTATAATTAAACGAGGTTAAATATCGGTTTGGGTTTATAAAGAACGGTTAGGGTTTAGATTTTATAATTAAATGAGGTAAATATCGGTTTGGATTTATAAAGGAGGATTAGGGTTTATATTTTGTAATTAGACGTGATTATATGTCGGTTTGGGTTTATAAAGGATGATTAGGGTTTATATTTTATAATTAGACTTGATTATATGTCGGTTTAGATTTATAAAAGAGGAGTTAGGGTTTAGATTTTATAAATAAATGAGTTTAATTTTTTATTTTAAATGACATATTATGATTGGTTAGAGCATCCTCATTGGTAACTCTCTTAATTTGGAATCCTAAACTAATAAATATTAATATTTTAATATAATTCAATTATCTATTTAAAATTAAATATGTAAAAGAAAATTATACCATTCAAGAGTTGGCATATGTCCATGAAGACTCTTAAAGAAGGATTTATGGGTCCTTAAAGAAGGATTCTTCACCTTCTTTCTCCAAATTTTTAATATTTTATTATTATTTTTGAGAGAAACCCACGTTTAAATCCTCCTGGGATGGTCTTAGAAACTTAAGGTGAATAAAAACCCAAAATTGTTTATAAAATAAATTGTATTAAAAAAAGATGTTTGTAACGTCAACGTTGACGTTAAGTAAATATAGATTTTGTTTCATTTCTTTTTTTTTCCTGACTTTAAATTTATTTGTTTATTTTGTTTAAATATAATATGACATGTCATATTTTTATCGGTTAAAGAAAGAAGAGGTGAATAAAGAGATTCACCCCTAGGGGTGAACCCAAGTTTTATTCTTTGTTATTTCACCTCTTCAGACAAAGTGGGTCCATGCTGTTTTCCGACAGAATTTTTTCTCTCTCTGCTAGTTTCTTAATTTATGTGTCAAATTTGGCTAGTTAGTAATATTACCCTTAATAAAACACCTCTTTTATCAAAAAAAAAAAAAATATAAAAAAAACACATCTCTTTAAATCTGTGATTTTGAACCACTCATGGATGCTTCTTTTTCTTCTTCTTGCATCTGGAGATACAACACTTTCGCGAGCTTCCATGGACCAGATGTCCGCAAAACATTTCTTAGTCATTTGCGATAACAGTTTAACTCCAATGGAATTACAATGTTCAATGATGAAAGGATCGAGAGAAGCCAAACCATCGCCCCTGCTCTCACACAGGCGATTAGAGAATCGAGGATATCCATCGTCGTGCTCTCGAAGAACTATGCTTCATCCAGCTGGTGTCTTGATGAGCTATTGGAGATTTTGAACTGCAAAGAAAACGCAGGACAGATAGTGATGACAATCTTCCACGGAGTAAATCCATCTGATGTGCGCAAACAAACCGGAGAATTTGGGATCGCTTTCAAAGAAACTTGTGCTCGTAAAACAAAGGAGGAGATGATAAAATGGACCCATGCTTTGAACTTTGTGGGCAACATAGCTGGAGTACACGTCCAAGACTGGTTTGTGTTTAATACAGTTTATCTTTCTTCTGATAGAATAGAATTGAAATCATTAAGGGAATGTTTTTTATGAACGGGTATTAGAATTTCTTGTTGAATGAATTATGCATATTGGAGATAGATGTAGGGGTGGGCTTTGCGGTTTTTCGGTTTAGTTTTATGGTTTTACAAAAACTGAAACCATATATAAACCGTATGTGATTCGGTTTGGTTACGGTTTGGTTTTCATGATTTTTCGGTTTTATAAAAATTAAATAAAAATTTGGTTTCGGTTTGGTTCTGATTTTTATAGATTATTCCATGTTTTTACAAAAAAAAATATATAAGTTTGATGCATAAATAAAAGTAAACGTAGTATAAAATATAAAATATCAATAATTATAAATTACTCAAAGATCTATAATTATAAGCCTAATAAAGAAAAAATTTAATGATACTATTATTAATCACAATAAAAACCAGACGATATAACTACACATAATTATCCTTAATTTTAATCAAAAACCAAAAAAACATTCGCTTTTACGGTTTCTGACCAAACGAAATCTAAACCGAAAACATAATAAAAGTAACAAGCAAATGAATTTTCAAGCTAAATCATAACCAAATCAAATCATTTATTTCAGTTTGGTTCGTTTCTTGGGTTACGATATTTTTGCCTACCCCTAAATAAATTTCTAAAACTACATGAAAATTCCATAAAAATACACAAACAAATTATAAATACCTTAAATAAATTTTTTCTTCACTTATCCTTACACATACTTTTAAATTGTATCCATTTAACATCCAAAAGTTGATGGCCGAAAGTAACATGTTATCGATAAAATAGTTGGTGAATAGAGGAATGTTATCTTTATGGAATTTCTTTTCTCATGATTGTTTCTTAGGGACGACGAAGCAAAAATGATCGAGAAGATTGCAACCGATGTCTCAAATAAACTGAATGCTACAGAGTCGAAGGATTTTGATGACATAGTGGGACTTAAAGCTCATTTGACGGAAATTGAGTCTTTGCTATATCTAGACTATGATAAAGTTAAGATGGTTGGAATCTCTGGTCCGGCAGGCATTGGTAAGAGTACCATTGCTAGAGCCTTACATAGCCTACTCTCAAGCAGTTTTCATCATAGTTGTTATATGGAAAACCTTATAGAAAGCAAAGCCAATAGTGCTCTAGAGTATCGTTCGAAATTGAGTTTACAAGAGCAGCTTCTTTCGCAAGTTTTGAACCTAAAGGACATTAGGATACGCCATTTAGGTGCGATACGCGAAAGGCTACACGACCAGAGGGTTCTTATCATTCTTGATGACGTGAAGGAGGCAGAGCAACTAGAGGTTTTGGCTGATATCAAGTGGTTTGGTCCTGGAAGTAGGATCATAGTGATCACTGAAAACAAAGATATTTTGCTGCAACATGGTATATGTGATATATACCATGTGGGTTTTCCATCACAAGAAGATGCTCTAAAGATCTTTTGTCTATATGCTTTTAGACAAACCTCTCCACCTGATGGATATATGAAACTTCATGAATGTGAAATGGTTGTAAAATATTGTGGCAGTCTTCCATTGAATCTACATGTTTTGGGGACGGCGTTTCGGGGAAGGAGTGATGATGAATGCAATCTTGGTGTAATAGGATTTATCTATCTTAGTTTATCTGAGAAAAGCCAAGCTCTATTTGACTACTTAATTCGATGCTCTGCTCTAGAAAATGGCAGGGAAACTGATGAGCCTCCTAGTGGTGATCTAACTAAGATTCTAGCAGATCTTGGCGAGGAAATTGGTGATGATCTAGATATTGAACTGGTAAGTCTTCTTATTTGAGCGGTCTTGAGTTTTACCATCTTTTTTTGATGTTGTTTTAAGCAAATATCTGACCACTAACAAGTTATGTTTTGGAATATTTGTTAGGGTCAAATATATGAACTTGCCTACCATGCGTCGCAAACCGCAACAAGAATCTTGGGATAGGATGAATCCCTTTTTTTTTTTACTTTGAATCCTTTTTTTTATTCATTTAAATTGTAATATGGCGTCACTTACTGTATATAGTAGAAGTTTGAAATATGTATTTTTTGAAAAAAAAATATTTATGAAACTTTTATGGGATTTGTTTTTTTAAAAAAATTTCGAAACTAAATAAAGACTCTAGTAGGATAGACTCTAAAATTTGTTATCAACATTGTTTTTTCAATTTTCATAAAAGAAGGAAGAGTATTTTCATTGATTTATAGTCTTGACATTTTTAAATGTGCTTTTTCATACACCGTTCTATATTCTTTTCGTTGTTTTATGAACAAAAACATATATGTAAAGAGACTATAATTTAGAACTTGTCCATCTATACTATTAATTGAGAAGCATTAAATAATAAATAACCTTATAAAGGGTAAAGAATTACAAAGAATGCCATTAGTATTTTAATAACTGAAGAACAATTTGAAACGAAATTAAAAGGACAAAATAGTCAAGGCAACTTAACAAAAAAAAAAAAAGGACGCGGATCTATGACCCGATTTGGGGAGTACTCGGATCTTCTGAATTTTAGGAGCATCGACTGCAGACCCGCATATCCGGTTCAACAACTTTTATCACCGAAACCTGCAAAAGAGAGCAGCAAATCAGAACCATGTATATATTATCGATTTTTAGTAACTAACATAACTATTGAATATTGAATATAAGATACAATATTCCAAATCAAAACATAACAATTAATGATTTTTCCAAAACAAACTTTCCCTATATATCATAACCGGATTATTAGGAGCATATTCCTATAATCAGGATTTAGGAGCATATTCCTATAATCAAAATTGTTAATTACATTTTTTAAAGATTTTAATAGAGTTGTTCTTATCAAACCTAAACAGTAACAATGCATAACCGATTTCTTTAGCTTATAAATAGAGAATCCGAGCTCATCCTTCTAAAACCACATACAAAACTCCAAATCTATATACCTTTATAACTTTAGATCTTCCGTTTTTATTATTGTTATTGTTGTCGTTGAGTTTTTAACTCCGACCCTTTTATCTGTATCTTCCTCCTCTATTGGAGTTTCTTCCTCCTCTAATGGAGTGTAAACCTATTATCTAATAGATGATTAAGTTCTTCCTAGATAAAGCATTAGAAGATGGTAGACAAAGTAATCGTTTAATTTTCATAAGAACCTTGAAGGAACATATGGAAATTGAAAAACCTTATCGACGATGGTGATAGTTATGTAAGGACCTTTGCTTCTTTCCATAGTCACGAAATAAATTAAACCAAACTTTTTTTTGGATTCTCACCAATCCAAGAGACTGATGCTGAACACATCATTTGCTTGCAAAAGCCAAAGTCAAAGTCACAATTCACAAATTTAGAGCTGATTGTGTTCTTCATTGATAGAATTTTCACATAGACTTAACAAAAGACTAAAAAAATAATAAACAAAAACAAAATCATTCATTCTAAATATCAAAAACTTTAACCAACCTATTTCCTAAATTTAATCTGCAAAATAAGAATTCAGAGATGACGTGTCCCAAAACTTGATGAAAAAAAAGAACTAAAAATTCCTTACCTCTGAGATAGAACCTCACATCAACACACATAGAAATTGACAAATCAATCAAGACCTACGATCATAAAATCCACGTTTTGAAAATAGAAACGTTAGTCTACCAAAGAAAAAGAGGAGAATATAAATTGCAGAGAACTTTGATTAAGAACTAGAACTTTTTAATTTAACAGAGACATAGAACTTGATAGTGCATAAGAACGACACGAGGATCTTTGGGATGAATCTGACTTAAGCACTTTCTCAAAAAATTTGTTCGCCACCATAAAGAAGTAAGAGGAAAAGAAATCATATGATAGTTATTAGAAATATAAGACAAGGAGTTTTTCATAGGATCCAAAAGCTGTAATCAATATATTTTCTTAACCTAATCTTCATCTAACAGATAAATATGGAAATATATGCACTGAAAGAACCTCATCGGCGAAGGTGATAACAAGCTAAGGATATATGCTTCAAGCGTTGAGTATCGCGAGTCTAATATGCTAGCAAATAGCAATCAAAGCAGCTTTTGATAAATCGATTTTTTTCAAAAACGTTGAAATAAATTTGAAAATTGTGAATCCAGATTGTTAATAATCTGAAATTTGATGAAATAAAAAGGAAGAATAACGCATCACTTACCTCATGATACAGTCCCAAATCAACACATGGATTCGATTATCGGTTAGTCTCTTGAACTCCTTCAAAACAACTTTCGCACTTTCCTTTTCCTTTCTTTTTTTTCTTTTGTCGGCTCAGTTTGTTTTTCTCCCTATTATCCCATATTTATTGTCTTTATTTGTTAACAATGTTTGAATTATAATGGGCATCTCAATAATCTACATTTGGAGACACACAAAAAAAAAGCTTAGAGTACACTATTTAACTAATGAAAGCAGCTGCTAAAAGGAAAATATATCAAAATTAGAATAATCATTTATTAAAAATTATTTTACAAACAAATTAGTATTAGCAGGATATTGTATTCAAAAATTAGAAAAATATAATATAACATATAAATAAATTATATTTTCGCAAGAAAACTTTGAGAAAAACCTTTTCCTTTCCGTCGTGTTTTTTGTAGGGAATGCATTTTCATTTGCAGCGGAAACTTGAGAACGGGTACGCTAGACGGGCCCAAACCAAGTTGGGGTCAAAGCAATTTTTATTTACTTATAAGTTTATAAGATTTGGGGCCTATTTATGTAATAGAAAAAAATTATTGGGGCATAAATTTGTGACTAATGGGATAAAAAATATTGGAGGCCCGAAACATATGTTTCACTAGAATGTGCTTAAGTCCGACCCTGCGGGTACAAGACGAAACTTAATGAGACGGGTTAAAACACAACGGATGAAACAGATGAAACGGATACAAGATGGGATCAAACGGGTCGAGACGAAATGAAACGGGAACTATGCTACTTATATTTTTTGAATAATTTTAAAAATCTATAGCTATACTATTAACTTGGAATCATTGGAAAGAATATAACCTTAGTAAGTGTAGAATATTACATAGAATGTCATTGGTAATTTTGAATTTGAAAAAGGAATAAAATTTATAAAAAGTATTTGTGTCTATTTGTTGCTTAAAAACCAGTGGATCTTAGGTTGATCCGTTGTTATCGGGTAAGATAAACACATGGTTGTTTATAAAAAAATTTCAATTAAATCAACAAATTATAACTACCCAATATTTATGGAAATTGTTTAAAGTAGTTTTTCATAAAAATCAGGCTATTAATGTCGAAATTGTATAAATGTTATTTAATTTGGTGAATCTCAATATCCCACGGGTTTGGGTTGTTTGCGGGCTTTTGAAAAAATTTATATACTATTTAAATCTTAAAATATATTTTAATATATATATATATATATAATAATTTCAGTTTTTGTGGAATTATATTTTTATTTATGTTTAAAATTATTTACTATTTATATTAATTTATTGTTAGCTTTAAATATTTTATATAAATTCTTAAAATTGATTTATTGAAATGCCAGTTACCTACGGGTTTTGAGAATTCAAGCGGGACGGATGCACATATTACTCCCGTGGATTTCACGGGTCGAGTTTTACTGTGCAGACCTATCGGGACGGGTTTGACGTACTTGATAATTTAAATCATCCGTTTTGGGAAGTTTAATCTTTTTGGCGGTTGTTTACTGGTTTGATAGTTCACATTCGATTCAAATCCGTCGACATATCGATCTAAATTTTATTGTGAAATAAATTATTATCTCAAATATTCACAAATTGAATAATACCAAACCACCATAAGTTTGAGTTATAATGATATATCAAATAATTATACCTACAAACATAATCCCGCACGTAGGTGCGGGTCCGGATCTAATCTATATTATTAATTGGGAATCACTAGATATTAAATAACCTTATGAAAGATACAATATTACATAAGATGCCATTGGTTTTTAGTGTTTTTAAATAAATTCATTAAGGGTACAATAGATAATCACAAATTTAATATATTTAAATAAAATATAGTAAAATTATTTTAAGTAATTATTAGTTTCCAAAAAATTAAACTCACTTTCTTTCTCTTATTAGTTATGGACGAAAATATTAAATTAATTTCAAAAAAATTATTAACCAATGAAAATTGAAAAACTAAGATTTGATATCCAACTTACATTTTATCTAAACCAATCCTAATAAATTATTCTATATCAAAAATACAAATAAAAATATCATTTTAATTCAAAATTAAAACACTACCGTTTAAAAAGTTTTATCAATGGAGGATTTTAAGATTACGTGACGAGATGGGAGAGGAATATAAATTAAAAATCAAACTAAATACTCAACTGGTATGAGTTCGGGTTATGAGCACTACATAAAATAAATTTGTTTACACACATAACCCTACACATACATTTTCAATTACACATATTCTATTTATGATGGACACAGGACCATAATATTTTTATTTCAAGTATACGAAACGGGTTAAGGGACGAAGAATTTATAACAGATACATGACGGGATAGGTTTCCCGTTCCAAAATAGTTACGCCTAGCTAATATACATGAAATAACTCAAACTAAAACCGAATCCATATCTTATTTAACACATGTAATCAAACTGTTTAAAATGTTTTGATTAATTTAGAAAATAAAAACGTAACATCACTTAACTTTTGCAACTAAATTATCTTAAATATAATTTCGCACGTACGTTTAGGTCTGGATTTTAAAATATAACTATGCACTAACGCAACTGAATTTCTTTTATTACGAAGTTCACTAACACAACAAAATATTTTATACTTTTAAATTTTATATAATAATTTCTATAAAAAATATTTATGTACATACGTGTGGATCCAGATCTAATACACTAAAATATATATCATAAAAACAACAAAATAATCTATATTGAATTAAAATTTGTTATATATTTTTTTTTAAATATGAAACCCCGCACGTACGTGCGGGTCAGGATCTAGTTATGAATAAATTGTGTTTACCGGACGTTTTTTGTTTTGTTTCAGAAACTTCAATTTCCATCACAAACTGGGATTTTCAATGAATGTATTTTGTCTCAATGTTGTTCCTAGATTAATGACGAGAAGTTATGACTGATTTACGATGGTACTCTATCTAATTATGCTATTATAGTGACAAAACATTAAAATGAATTTTACAACGACGTTATGCTATATTCAACTCCAACATCATTCATGGACTCGAAACATAAGCGTGATCACAAAACGAATCCATACCAACATGAATAGACACCAAGAAGGAACCTATTTGTGCAATCTCGTCAACAAAATCAAGACTTGTCACTAAAAAACCAATTACAAAAACTGATTAAGCAAACCATGATTCAACACTTGACCTCCCATGTAATACCTCTCAAGAACTTCATGAATCATCGTCACCATCATCATCGTAACTTCACCAAGTCCATTAATCCTTTGTATCATCAAACCTAAACGTGACACAACTTCATACTCATGCTCACGAAACCTCAAAGCTTCTCTTCTAACTTTCTTAGCAACTCTAACAAACCCTTTACGCACAACAACCTCTCTTCTCTTCACATTAACCATCTCCCAAACCGATTTCACAATCACGTAAACCAAATCCCAAACCAAACTCTTATTCTTCAAATTCACAAGCTGAAGTATCAAACTAAACCCAGCTTCTAAACCTAAGCACCATTCTTCTTCATCATAATCTTGATTCATCAACAACACATTAACAATCTTTAAACCAAAACCATTCTCCAACAACGGCATCAAGAACTCTTCATCAAGAAGCGTTGGCAATTCACTAAACAACAACAGAGCTTTTTTATTCCCATCTAATGAAAGAATATAAGAACAGAGCTCGTACCATGGCTTGCTTGCAATGAAAACATCAACAGAGACACGAGATACGATTCTTGAGAGGAGTTTAAAGTCTTCATCAGAAGTTTCTTGCGTGAGAAGGCAAGAACTTACATGGTTCTTGATATCATTCAAAGACTCTTTCTTCAAACCACCGCGTAAATCGTCGATATCCATGAGAAGTGAATCGAGGAGATAGACTGAAAAAGATCGAATCTTCGGGGTTATATCGGTACCGAAACTGTAGATTTGGAGGAGTTTTGAGACTAAAATGTTTGGGAAATGTTTTGAGAAGGTTTCGTAGAGAAGCTTTGAAGATTGATCTGTTTCTTTACCGTAACAGAGGTTAGTGACGAGTTTTGTGATTCCGGTGATGTCACGTGTTGCGAGAATCTCTTTTGCTTTGTTTCCGATGTAGATACGTGATGCGGTTAGTGGTGGAGGAGGGTTTGATGAAGAAGCTTCGTCGTCATGAGGAGATGTCATTTTCGTGGATTTTTTCCCGAGAAAATGAGAGAAAATCTTTGTTGGTGGTAGAGAGAAAGAGATAAATGATAAACAGAATAGTAACAGAGTGATTAGACGAATCTTTTTTAATATATACGATTTGGTTATCTTGCTTATTCAATTGGAAATGACGAACTTACCCCTATGGAAAGAGTACAATTCTTGCTTATTCATCGGAATGACGAAATTGCCATCATACAAGAGTATTATTCTTGCTTATTCATTGGAAATGACGAAGCTGCGAGTAGAGAGATTGAATTTTTTATATTAAGGTTTGTAGAGGAAAATAATTTTTTTGTTTAATACTTTTTTTTTTTCATTTTTTTTTTTTTGCTAATCATGTAAATATATTTATTTTTTCATTTTATTAGGGACACAACTAAAATTAAATATTTTTTAGTTTTTCTATTGGTGAACTAAAACAGAATCGAAAGTAATAGAAATTTTGTTGAAAAAACACAATTAAAATTATGTGTGATTTTTTTAATATATTTAGACGGTTTGATTATGGGATAAAATACTTGAATTTATATATTTTGGTAAATTTTGAGTTACTTGCAGGATTTTTCAAAAGTTGTTTTTGTATTCAGATGAATTTCCAAAATTAGTGGTGTAATTATTTAGTGATACAATATGTTTTGAAATTCCGGAACTCCCACAATTTATCAAAAAAAGAAAAAAAAAACTCGATTATATTTGAAAACAATATATCTTGAATTCCAAGTCTAAATATTTTGTTTATTAAATTATTTCACGTCTTTCAACAATCGTACTTTCTTTTTTTTTCTTGTAACATGTGATTTATTTATGAAGATTGTACATGATTAGAATGTAGAGTTTCGGAAATAAAATGAGGGGGGTAAAAATAAGATTGAAAATGTTGTGAGTGAAGAGAATTATATTTCGCTAGTAGATCCGCTACGGTGTTATTCGTTCTAGCTGTCCATTTGAATTGCACTTCCTCAAATCTTCTCTGCCATTGACATGCTTCACGTACCCATTCATAACATCCAAAATTGATGCTTTTGCCTTGCATTTGTTCTATGATTGATTTGGAATCTCCTTCAAAGATCACTTTGCGGCGTCCTTGACACCATGCATGTTGCATCGCCATAATCATGGCTTAGAATTCACACTCTAATACACTTGAAAGAACTTCTCATGTTGCTTGTCTTGCGCCCTTGAAAGTGCCGTTTTCATCACGGATAATCCATCCTGCTTTTGATGGTTGATTGTTGTACGGATGGGAACCATCAAAATTACATTTCATCCAGCCAGCTAGAGGTTGTTCCCAGTGTGTTTGCGCCGGAGGGTTTCTTTAATGTCTTGATTGTGATATGGCCGGATTTATACTTTGAATATACTCATGTGATGTTAACCACTCATATGTCTTTCTTGGAACACGTTTCTACTTTTCCAGAGTCCCAAAGAATCCAAATCGTAATCTGGTGTGCTTGATGATTGTTTCTGATGATGGTGTTTGAGAGAATTGCCTCCATTTTTGAATCCAGCGTCGTACTTTCATTTTCTCTTTTCTCTTCCTCTTGTAACATATAATTTTTATTGAATTAATTGATAAGAAATGGAGCATATATATTTTCTATCGGGTAATAAAGTAATATTACCTCCGATTGGTTGAGGCAGTAGATTTAGTTATGTATGATTGGTTGTGGCGGTAAGATTCTGGATGTGATTTCTTATAATAAAAATCTAATTGGTAAATGATTGTTATATGTTGTAAATTAATATTTTATCATCTATATTACGAATTATATATGTAGACTTTTCCACTATCATGTAAAATAAAAACAAGAATACAAAAATATAAGTCAAATCTTTAATGTTATTTACTTTTTATTTTTGAGTATTTTAAACAAATTAATAAATGAAATTTGTAATGTACATAAAATTTGTAATTTTACAAACATAAATGTAAATAAAATTTATAATGTATTCAATAATTTATATGTCATATTGTTCATATCAAAATGAAATTTATATTCATAATAGATATGTATATATATTATCAGTAATACATATATATATATATATATATATATATATCTATATATATATATATTATGCTATGTTATAGTGGAGGGTGTATTTATATATCATATGTATTAGAAATATTGTATATTATATTTTTTTCTATAAAAGGGAAATATAATTTCCTTTCTACAGCCATAAAATCTTTTACATAAAATTGTTTTTGTGAGAGACTCTGATTGCACATGCTCTAAAATTTGCTGTGAAAGTTGTATGTTTCAAAAATGAAATCAAAGCTTGATTGATTCGGCGTTAGTGCTATAGAGAGAAATGATGAAGCTTGTGTAGCTCATACCAATCATCTTCATTATATACGTTTTGTTGCAAAGTTTCCCTTACGAAGAGGCAGTTCTTTTTTTTGATCTTATACAAAAATTTTATAATAGTATAACACATCTACTCATCTAGTATCAAATTTGTAGTTACTTAGTGACTCTTAGAACTTTTATAATATACATTTCTTTCCCCCCATCATCTTTGCATTTCCCTCTTTTACCTCTCATCTCTTGCATCTTTTATTTTTTTGTTTCTAAATATAACATATATAAAAGTTTCATTTACTTAAAACTTACATTCTATTGATCAAACACATTTTTATATTTGTAAAAAAATTGGTTAACTACTTTATACTAAATGAAAATTTTATGAAATTAAATGTCAGTAAAAAAAATTATTTAAACAATCTAAACTAAGCTTAGTAAATATTGCTGTCAAAAAAAAAAAAAAAAAAAGCTTAGTAAATATTTTGATGTATGAAAGTTTTTGCATCTAATTTGAAAAATTAAAATATTTGTAACACCTAAACTTTCTTGAAAACACCAACACAAATTTCTATGATATTTCAATGTAGTTTCTTCCATATCTAAACTCAATGATTTAAAATAATATTAACATATTTAGCTTAAGAATAGAATGAAGGTGTGATGATATCTTGTGGTTTTCATCGATTTTGATTGTGTTTTTCTTCCTCTTTCATGCATATCAATACATCGAAGTTGGTGATGAAAATAGAAACCAAAGTTTTAGGTCGCTACTGAAAATCTGTCGAGACCTATCCATTTTGTTTTTATTTGATTACAAACGCATGTGGACAATGAAAACAACAGTGAATATGAATGGTCAATATACCATTTGAACGACATCTCGTGCCTAATGTATCAGAACAGTTAATACCACAAACTCGTGTCTTTGTCAAAGACTGTTTTGCATGGCTTTCAATTTTAAAAATTTAAACAAAAATAGCTAGCCGAACTCTTAAAAATATATAATCGCATTTTCTTGTTTGGCAGCAAATATATCATCTACTACTTTTACAATATATAGCTTCCATTCCTCTTAAAGATGGTTCGTCTAATATCATGTTTTTGTTATAAACTCAAAAAGAAAGTGAGATTGTGACTTGTGTGAGAACTTTAGTTTTTTTCTATGACAGCTTCCAAAACTTTAGGCATTGCCAGCATGCAATCCATAATTGGTTATTGTACGAATATTAAATTTTGTTATCCATCCCTCTCAGTCATATGTTTTGAGGCCTCACAATTTTCTATATATGATATGAATTTGCAAATCCTTCTTATTCCCACACATACAATATGGATAATCTAGCGTTATGTGAAGCAAACAACGTTCCTCTAACGCCCATAACGTTCTTGAAGAGAGCTTCCGAGTGTTATCCCAATCGAACTTCCATAATCTATGGAAAAACTCGGTTCACTTGGCCTCAAACCTATGACCGTTGCTGTCGTCTCGCAGCTTCTCTCCTCTCTCTTAACATCACTCGAAACGACGTCGTAAGAATTTTCCATTTGCCTTCTCATACCTATATGTGACTAATCATTATATGCCTTTCCCTTAATTCATTCTCACGATATAATGGTGTCATGACTCATGATCTACATATGAACCACATAACTTCTCTTTTTTCTTGTTTTAGTTTTATATTTAGTGATGCCTATCATATCTTGTACTATCCTTACTTCTTTAGGATGGTAATTTTTACCGAATTGATTTATTCATCTTATATATGTGATAAATCTGTGTATAGGTCTCGATTTTGGCCCCAAACGTACCTGCCATATACGAGATGCATTTTAGCGTTCCCATGACCGGAGCTGTACTTAACCCTATTAACACCCGTCTTGACGCCAAAACCATAGCCATCATCCTCCGCCACGCCGAGCCAAAGATCTTATTTGTGGACCATGAGTTTGCTCCTTTGATCCAAGAAGTCCTCAGTCTCCTACCCACTGACGAGTCACAACCTCATCCGCGGATCATATTCATTAACGAGATTGATTCCACTACAAATCCTTTTTCCAAGGATTTGGACTACGAGGGTCTCATCCGAAAAGGAGAACCTACGCCCTCCTTGTACGCAAGTATGTTCCTTGTCCACAACGAGCATGACCCTATCTCATTGAACTACACGTCCGGTACCACTGCCGACCCAAAAGGTGTGGTGGTTAGCCACCGAGGAGCCTACTTGAGCGCTTTGAGCTTGATTATTGGCTGGCAAATGGGGATTTTCCCGGTCTACCTCTGGACACTGCCTATATTTCATTGCAATGGATGGACGCTCCCCTGGTCTGTCGCTGCACGTGGCGGTACTAATGTATGCATCAGACATGTGACTGCCCCAGAGATCTATAAGAACATAGAATTGCATGGCGTGACACATATGTCCTGTGTTCCTACGGTCTTTAGGTTTCTCCTTGAAGGAGATCGAACCAACCAGTCACACAAGTCCCCACCGGTTCAGGTGTTGACCGGAGGTTCTTCGCCCCCGGCTGTCCTTATAAAGAAAGTTGAGCAGCTAGGGTTTCAAGTGATGCATGGCTATGGGCTTACAGAGGCCACCGGCCCGGTTCTCTTTTGTGAATGGCAAGACGAGTGGAACAAGTATTTTAACCATCATGATTTTACATAATATACTACAATCTTTTATATACATAATCATCTTGAAAATAACAAAGTTTATTATGACAATCCTAAATAGACTACCAGAGCATCAACAAATGCAACTACAACAAAGGCAAGGTGTAAGGCACCTAACCCTAGCTGACGTTGACGTGAAAAACACCAAAACTCTAGAGAGTGTCCCGCGCGACGGTAAGACAATGGGAGAAATTGTCATTAAAGGAAGCATTCTTATGAAAGGGTATCTAAAGAACCCTAAAGCAACATCTGAAGCCTTTAAACACGGATGGCTCAACACGGGAGACATAGGTGTGATTCATCCTGATGGATATGTAGAGATCAAAGATAGATCCAAAGACATCATCATCTCGGGAGGTGAGAACATCAGCAGTATTGAGGTCGAGAAAGTTCTTTACATGCATCAACAAGTGCTCGAGGCCGCGGTTGTGGCCATGCCTCACCCTCTGTGGGGTGAAACCCCGTGTGCGTTTGTTGTTCTAAAGAACGGTGAAGAGGAATTGGTGACCAATGAAGGAGATCTCATTAAGTATTGCCGTGAGAATATGCCACATTTTATGTGTCCGAGGAAAGTGGTGTTCTTTCAAGAGCTTCCAAAGAATAGTAATGGAAAGATCCCCAAGTCTAAGTTGCGAGACGTCGCTAAGGCCTTAGTGGTCAAGGAGGACGATGTCGGTTTCAAGAAAGTTCATCAACGCAGTGTCGAACACGTTAGTTCGAGGCTTTAACGTTACATTCATCGATGTGTTTATGTATATGCGTGTGTATTTGGATCGATTGATATGCGGTAGTCGGGTGGTGGATCACCGTATAACACTTAACTGTATATGAGGGATATATACGGTGAATATATTTTTATAAAAATATATGTCTATATATATATTATAAATATATATAATATCATAAAAAAATAATTGTAAAAAAAAATAAAAGAAGTCTCATGTTAAACTCCAACTCTAAAAAAAATGAAAACATAATGACAACCATATTTAGATAAGCAGCACCGTATAAGTGGCCGTATTGAGCCGTATAATGCCGTATAATGACCATATTGAGCAGTATAACGCCGTATAATGGCCGAATTGAGCTGTATAGCGCCGTGTAAGTGGCCGTATTAAATCTAACCGTATTTGTTAAACGCATAGCTTAAAAACAGTACATTAGTCTGCCGTATAGCGTATAACTACCGTATATACGGCCGCCTAAGGCTTATTTTAGAACACTATTATGTTTTTTAGTTTGCATGTATAGATTTTTAAATTTACGCTAATAAAATCAAGTTATTTAAATCTTTATTATAGTTCAACAAATATTGTATCTTTTATTTAATAAAAATGGTAAAAAAAAGAGAAAAAATTGCCACGTGGATTCAACAAATAAAATTGAAGAAGATAATCTCAAAATTTTTAAGGCTCAGGATTCGCCACTTGGAAAAATTTCATATCTCATCACTTCCATTAGAACACAGCTCCTAAAGATGAAGAAGTAAACAGATTTGCCACAATATCAAAAAAAAAAAAACACACCACAATGAGTGACACTAAAACGGTGCGTTTTGGTATTCTTGGATGCATCAGATTCGCATCAAAGTTCGTCAGAACAGTAACACAATCCTCAAACGCCGTCATTATCGCCATCAGCGATCCATCACTCGAAACAGCAAAAACCTTCGCCGCCACCAACAATTTATCGCCGGAAACCGTCAAAATATACGGAAGCTACGAAGAACTACTAAACGATGAAAACGTTGACGCCGTTTACTTGACGATGCCGGTGACACAACGAGGGAAATGGGCGGTGACGGCGGCGGAGAAGAAGAAGCATGTTCTTGTTGAGAAACCACCGGCTCAAGACTCGACGGAGCTGGAGAAGATTGTGGAGGCGTGTGAATCTAACGGTGTTCAGTTTATGGACGGTACGATTTGGTTGCATCATCAACGGACGGTTAAGATTAGAGATACGATGTTTGATTCTGGATTGCTTGGAGATGTTCGCCACGTAAGCGCTTTGCTTTTTTTATTCAAATTGCAAATTGGTCCATATAATCTTTTTACTTTCTTTATTGCCCCACATATAAGTTAGAACGACTAATATAACCTTTCAATTGTACTAGAACTAGATTATGACCCTCAAATGTGGGATTAGATACCAAGTTATAGAGTAAAACCTCTCTACGTTAATGCTCGATGGACTAATAAATACGATAAAATAAAAATTTATCAGTTTCGAGTTATGTTAGGCTACAAAATTAACCAAATTCGAGAAAATTAGTGACGAAACCTATCGTTATCATATTCGAAACAACATCTAAGTGATGTTACATCTTACACGTTGAATCATGTTGGTGTTATGATAATCATATATCAATCTTCTTTTTCATGTCCAAAAAAATCCATAATACTGATGAAATCAGATTTTTTAAGTATCCGATTTTCTTAATTATGCATACGACATAAGTTTCAAATTATTGAAACCATATATTACAAATGGTTGTTTTAAGTTGAATGGATTGAATATAATAAGTTGGAAAATAATAAGTTGAAAATCATTCAATCCATTCATCTCCAAAATTGTAGTTGAATGAGTTGAACATTTTTGCTGTAGAATTTGTTCAATTTTTCAGGTTTTTAAGTTGAATGGGTTGAATCTATTTTTCAACTTTTTCATCTCAAATGGTGAAAAATTAGTTTAATGTTCATTCAACTCTTTCAGTTTGGTATTTTTTGTCAACCATTTGCAGCCTTCGTGTAGGTTACATTAATCTATTTCATGAGTTTATGTTTTAGGATTGAGTCTAATCTATGATTTTTTCACTAAAGTATCAAACATTCTTTGACACATGCGTTGCAGATGTATAGCACGATGACTACTCCGGTACCGGAGCAAGTGTTGGAAAGACTGACTAAAGAAGCTATGGGTTTAGCCGGAGCTATAGGAGAGCTTGGCTGGTACCCTATAGGTGCAGCTTTATGGGCTATGTCTTACCAAATGCCGATATCGGTCAGGGCTCTTCCCTCCTCTGTCTCCACAAACTCGGTTGGCACTATCTTGTCCTGCACTGCCTCTCTTCAGTTCGGTTCAACCGCAACCGCAATCGTCCATTGCTCTTTCCTCTCTCAACTTTCAACCGACTTAGCTATCTCAGGTTCTTTCAATTGTCTTTATTGTACAATAAGTTGAAATAGAAATAGTAATAGTCTAGGGGAATATAATCAAGCCGAGCCGAATCGAACCGAATTCCAAAATCCAATTCAAAAAATTAGTTATTTGGTTAAAATGGTTCCTCTTATTCTTTTAAATGTCCAAAAATCATATAAAACAATCTATAGAAGATTTAGTGCTACATTATTTAAATTTCCTAAGACATGAAATCCCAAAACATTAGTAAAAACTTATGTCTATGTAAAATATAAGTGATATTTTGTATTAACACCAAATATCAAAATGAATGTTCAGGATCAAAAGGGTCGATTCAAATGAATGACTATGTGATACCCTACAAGGAGGACACAGCTTGGTTCGAATACACATGTGGTGCGAAGTTTGTGGACATGCACATTGGTTGGAATGTGACACCGGAGAAAGTTACAGTGGATTGTGGCGGAACTGCGGAGACGCAAGAGGCAATGATGCTAAGAGAGTTCACGCTGCTTGTCGAAGGAATCAAGCGGGGCGATTTAGAGGCTGATCGTAGGTGGGCCGAGATTAGTAAGAAGACGCAGTTGGTCGTTGATGCTGTGAAGAAATCTGTTGATATTAATTGTGAAGTGGTTCATTTGTAAAACTTGTTGATATTTTCTGCTAATTAGATTATGATATTTATATTAGTGTCATTGATACGTTTACATGTTCTGGTTACTAACTTTTATAAGTCGAAGATGATATGTACTTCCATAACTTTTATTTGGTACTCCTCCATATACTCAAATCTGAGATATGTTAGGTCAGTAGAAGTAGGTGGATCGTTTAAGTTTAGTTCTAAATCTCGATACAATAAAGAAGCTCCATAATTCGATAAAGTTATATAAAACTAGAAAATATAAGAATACTTTGTCTTATAAAAATAATAAAATTAAAAAATTTAACATGAGTCGAAATTCTAATAGATAAGACTTACACATGTCTCAATTTTGTTCATTATATTGTTTCCAAAATTTTGCAAATTTATTTCTTTTTATCTTGACCAGAATGCATATATTATTTGTACATTATAAGGAATGCATTAAATTGTGGATTTCTTTCTATTTATTTATATCAAAAGTTATATTCAAAAAAAAAAATATTAATTATTTTAATGAAAATTCAAAAAAAAAAAAAAAACTAATTAGGGTTTCATTTTAATAACAAACGCCACCCACATATTTTTGTTGTCTATATATACTTCTTATCTCTTCGTAAAACAACATACGACACACATAACCTCATCATCTCTCTCACATATTCACATCCTTGTCTTATCTCTCTTAGTGTACGTCTCAAAATAAGTACTAGTCTCTTCTCACTCTTTCTAAACTTTTCCATTTCATCATCTATCCAAGTCACGAATGCATCACTATCATCGTATCCACATATATTCGCTCGACCGGATTCGGATCAGTAAACTCCGAAATGATGTGTTGGTCATGAATTCATGATCCTAACGAGATGTTTTGTCCAAACGATGATATTATTGTTACATAGTATGTCTTATTCACATAGTTATGCAAGTACCTTTTTTTTTTTTTGATGAATTTCAATCTTTTGCCTTATTCACATAGTTACATGATATTATTGATATATAGTATGTCTTACATATGTTAGTTTCATTAATGTATTTTTTGCAGATACCTTTTTCTCTTCTTCCATATGCGAAAAGCTATCATAACCAACATGGGATCTCTTCCGCTCATTCTAATCGCATTGCGCAATCGATATCCAAGGTTTCTCTCTATTTTTTTCAGTATTTTTTCAATAAATTATCAGAAACTTTTTGGATCTACACCATGTCCCTTTAAACTTAAAACTGATGATTGAATTGGTGATTGCATTACATTTTGATTCTTAGAAAATTTTAAACACGGACCAACTTAAACGCATAAACACTATTTGTATGTATCATAAAATATGAAAACCTTGTATATCTCGAGGCAAACAAAAATGTAAGACGATCCATGCTGTAAAAGACAACAAAAAATTAATGGACTTTATAAACCTTTTTTTTATGATATTTATAATTTAGGATTTTTTTTTGGGGATATCCGGATCTTAAAACACCTAGTAGAATCCGGATCCTCCAATATCAATATAATTATTTTGTGATATTTTTTTATAAAATTTAATCCGAATCGGATATAGGTATTATGAAATTTAAGACACAATACCTAGATTCAGATCTAGGAGCTCTAGATACTCTATTTTTTGGTTAGGTATTTATATGGGTTTATCTTAAATTTCAACGGAAAGTTCTATCTACAAAAATGTTAATTCATCTTTATGGTTAGGTATTTATATGGGTTTATCTTAAATTTCGACCATAGTAAAAAATAGTCATAATGGTATTTCGCACAAAAAATTATGATTTTTGAAATTTTTTGGATCAACATATGTAAAGGTAGATTGTGAATGCATTATTATAATAGTTAATTAAAATCTTTTTTAAAAAGAACAATCTCTTGCCTTATTCACATAGTTACATGATCTTGTTATATATATAAGTATCATACCTTACATATGTTGGTTTCATTCATGTATTTGTTTCGATTCCTGATAAGGTATTTTTGTTTTTTGGATATTTCATTTAAGTTGATAAGTTACACTAGAGTACTTTTGCAGTTTCTACGTTAGATAATAACTAATTCTATGGTTTTTATATCTCAATATGCTAATGGATATTTAGTTGTATGAAACATGCAACAATTTATTCATAGATCCAAACATCCATAGGATACATATAATAACCGAGAATTATATGATAAGAATATTTAAATGTAACCATTTTGAAATGAGAAAATTACCTCAAGCTATAGTACCTCTATGAGATCTATTTGTAGGTTACAAATTAAGAAAAATAGAAAAGAAATTTTGTAAACTACTCAATTACAGATGGCGAATATTCCATTTTGATCATGAGCCAGCCTCTAGTTTTGGTTTAGCTCGGCTAACGGAGAGATGTTCTCCGGTGCAAAAAGCATGAAACAGGAAACATCAAATTCTTGTGGTCATATAATATAACCAACTCATATTTTATGCTTAACTATATAATGAGGTTATATTATATAACTATAATAATTTGATGTTCCCTCGTCTCATATTTTTTACGTTAAAGAACATCTCTCTACTAGTTGAACTAAGCATGGACGACTATGGGTTGGCAGATGAACTAAATGGAAAATTCGAGATATGTAACTAAGTAATTATGAAGTTTCCTTTTTATCTTTTTTTGTAGCTTACATTGATAGCTCATAGGTGCTATATGTTGATGTAATTTCTCATCTCGATATTGTCACACTTTGACTTTCTTATTATTCAGAAAGTGAGTGAACGAGAAGAGCAGTCGAAGATGGCTTCATGTTCATGTTATCATATGATCATATGAAAGTGCAGATTGATATTAGCGATGAAGATGGCTATACTCAGATCTGAGATATCTTAGTTTTTTGAATTATATAGTCTCTTGGTTTCTTGAAGTTGTATATTATAATTTTATGACATGTAAAGATTAAAAGAATACATTTTTTACCAAGTTCCCTTTGCTAATCTGTTCTCAAAGTTAGTATGTGATGTCTTCGGGAAATTATTTATGAATAGTTTTTAAATTACTCAATTATGAACTAAAATAAATTTATTTGTTCTATTGAATTTAATTAGAATAGATCTATAAGGAAATACATTTTACATTTAAAATGAGTAACACAAGTTAAACAAAGATAAAATGAGTAACATATATTTTTGTATAACAAAAAAGATAAAACCTTTGAAAATTAATACAATATAGAAACTAAAGTTACATATAAGATATAAAGAGTAAATATGTAAACTTGGTACTAGAGCAAGTATTGGAAAGACTGACGAAAGAAGCAATGGGTGGTAGGTTGGTAGCCTATAGGTGCAGCTCTATATTAGAATATGGGCTTCCAACTCAAAACCAATTGGCAATAAGTGGAGAGGCCCATATATCTTATATATTAGTCAAGATCCCTTGTCCTTTCCAATGTGGGATAATATTATCCTTAATACGCCCCCTCGAGATGATGGCTCTAGCCATTGATCTCGGTATGCTCGGGCATGAATCGGCGGGCCAACTATTGGGCCGGGCCGATGGTGGATTGGATTTGGACATGTACGGATCGGGCTCTGATACCATATTAGAATATGGGCTTCCAACTCAAAACCAATTGGCAATGAGTGGAGTGGCCCATATCCCTTATATATTACTTAGGATCTCTTCCAACTTCCGATGTGGGACATTATGTCCTAATACGCCCCTTCGAGATGATGGCTCTTTGGCCATTAATCTCGAAATGTTCGGGCTTAGATCGACGACATCAATTTTGGGCCTTGTCGATGATTGGACCACCTTTGGGTCGGATCGAGTTGGACATGTGTGGATCGTTTTGAGTTGGAAGCCCATATTCTAATACTCTATGGGCTATGTCTTACCAAATGTTGATATCTATTAGAGCTCTTCCCTCCTATGTCTCCACAAACTTGGTTGGGGCCATCTTGTCCGACACTGCCTCCCTTCAGTTCTGTTCAACCGCAACCGCATTGCCAATCTATCGTTCATTGCTCTTTCCTTTATCAACTTTCGACTGATTTAGATATCTCAGGTTCTTACCATTATCTTTATAGGGCTGGCTAAAAATAGCAAAAAAAACTGTGGTTCATGTTTAATTTTTGAAATATGGACCCTAATTAATTACATGTAAAAAAATTTGGACCTTTAAATACATTAATAAATACGGTAATTTAATAAAGTCCGAGTGCAAATGCTATGTCTTAGCAAATGTCGTATATATATATGCATGTGTGAGGAGTGCATTTCCACTCGGACTTTGTTAAATTACCTTAAAAAATAATGTGTAAAGGTCCAAAACAATTTTTGAATTTTTATACATGTAATTAGGGTCCCTATTTCAAAAATTAAGCATAGGCCATAGGTTTTTCTTTTGCTATTTTTTCTATATAGCTATCTCATCAGGTTCTTACCATTATCTTTACTATAGCATAAGTTGAAATAGTAATAGTCTATGGGAACATAATCAAGGTGGCCGGAGATTAGTAAGAAGACGCAGTTGGTCGTTGATGCTGTGAAGTGGTCCATCTGTAAAACTTGTTGAGATCTTTAGCTAATTAGATTGTGATGATTATATTAGTGTCATTAAAACATATACATGTTATCGTAACTAATTAACTTTTATAAGTGGAAGATGCTATGTACTTCATGATTTGTGTTCGACCGTTCTATAATTTGTGATCATAAGATTGTCATTTTTTTAGAAGCGAAATAGGGTTATCTAAATGTAGTTCAACGTTGGATCACACTGGTGTATTGCACATATGGCTCCGCAAGTGCTCAAACTCTCTTGCACACTAAGAGTGGGAATGAGGTTGAAGAATATTCAGAGTGAGAGAGCAAAAAGAGCAGCCTAAAGAGGACTTGATATTGATTCCATGTATATAGTATATAAGTTGAGAGATTCGCAATGTCGATGAAGATGACTCTATATCCTCAAATCTTATATATGATAGGTCAGTAGAAGTAGATCGAGTTAAGGTCGTTGAGACTCTTGTAGGTAATGGGGTTACTGAATTTTCATGTAAATTGATTTTATAGTTTTGTGCATTGAATTTGCAATGAGTAATTTTTATTCGGGGATTATTATACAGATTCGTACCCTCTTATAAAAACATTATAAACAAATGAATTACACATTCATTTTTAATATTTGTTTTCATTAATATTTGAGGAGATAAACATTTTTATCATCGCATATCAAATCATTAAAATAGAGCAAGACTTATAATCTTCAAGTTGGAATGATTATGTTGTGATTTTGGAGTCAAATGGAAAGAAATAAAGCATAAAATAGAGAAGAATTACTGAGGCAAATACTCACATAGTTAAAAATTGTGTGAATATATAACTAAAAATCCTAAGATATCAGTAAATAAGTTATAAATCCCGATTAACTTACACATGTCGTACTTTTGTTAATTATATATCTTTCCAAAATTTTACAAATTTATTTCTTTTTATTTTGACCAGAAAATACTTTATTTGGTACATTATATGGAATGCATTAAATTGTTGATTTCTTTCTATTTTTTATATATCAAATTTCATAGTAAATAAATATAAATTAATTATTTAAATGAAAATGAAAATTAAGAAAATAAAAGAAAACTTTCAATTAGGGTTTTAGTACAATAACAAACGCCACCCACATATTTTTGTTGTCTATATATATACGTCTTATCTCTCTCTCACATGTATTCACATCCTTTTATCATCCTCTTAGTGTACAAATCAAAATCAGTCTCTTATCTCTCTCTCTGTCAAAACTTCTCCATTTCAGCATCAATCCAATTCTAACTGCAACACTATAATCAGATCCAAAAATGGCAAACGGATCCTTATAGATCCTAATGAGTATGTCCACATGATGCTGTCAAGACATATATGTTGTCTAAACGACAGAAGAGTGTATGGAAGCTGATACCTTTTCTTTTGAATTTAATCCTTTTGGCTTATTGACATAATTATTAACATGATATTATTGATATATATTATGTCTTACATATGTTAGTTACTTCATTAATGTATTTGCAGATACCTTTTCTCTTCTTCGAAAATCTATCAACAACCAACATGGGATCTCTTGCTGTTCATTCTGATCGCGTTGCGAAATCGTCATCCAAGGTTTCTCTCTATTTTTCAGTATGTTTTCAATAAATTATCTACACCGTTTCCCTCCTAACATAAAACTGATGACTGAATTGATGATTGCATTATATTTTAATTAGTAGAATAGGTTTTACACATGAACCAACTTGAAAAAAAAAACACTAATTGTATGTATCGTAAAATATGAAAACAGCTTGGATAAATCGAGGCAAATAAAAATTTCAGATAATCCATGATGTAAAAGACAACAAAAAATAGAGAATATGAACGTTTTTTTTAATGATTTTTATATTAGAAATTTAGGGATATCTGGATCTGGATCTCAGAAACAACTACTCTGGATCCCCCAATATATGTATGTATCTGGAATATAAACTGTCACAATAACATTTACATAGATTTTTACATGGTTTATGTTCACTCTAAAAATTCAGAAATTTTATAAAAATACAATATATATATATATATATATAATTTAATAAATTTATATATAAAATGTAATCCAAATCAAATCTGGATATTCACACCTTAACTCACAATACCTAGGATCTTGATCCGGAAGCTCTAGATACTTTAATTTTTGGATTAGATTGGATCTCAGATATTTCGTCAAGTCCTTTTTGTTAATGCCACTACAAGAAAAATCAACATTGATAGCAGTAGAAGATAGCACATTTTCCTAAACTGCTATAAAATATGAGTTCGTAATTTTGGTTACTTTATAATAGCACCGGATAAACGCTAAGACCCCAAATCCTTTAGCGGGAAACAAAAATGACCTATTCCGCCAACACTTAGCCAAAATAATTCACTTTTCCCTCTGTTCTCGAGAAAACACAAACTTTTCCCTCTGTTCACTCTCTTTAGTAACAAAACCTAAACTTCTCAGATCCACGATTTCTCTCTAATCCTAGCCAATTTGCATACCAAAATCGATTCCAAGCTTGTCGCCGGCCATAAATTTCTGTTCCTCCGCAGTCACATTCTCCAGCGCCGCCGCAGACACATTCTCCAGCGCCGCCGCAGACACATTCTCTAGCTCAAATCGAAGGCATCTCTTTCTTCCCAACTCTAACTACATTCTTTCTCTCATTTCAATGTGATTTCGACTTGTTTAGATTTGATTACAGTCCTTGAAATTATCGATTTCGCTCAATATATGCTCGATTCCAAGCTTGAAATTATCGATTTCTATCTGTTTTTTTTTTTAATTTCTCTCTGCGATTTTAGGGTTCATATGCTTTGAACTGTTTTTAATTGAACTGTATTCGCGATTAAGCTCAAATCCAAGCCATGTTTCAAATCTAGGGGTTATATTAATCGATCTGTTTTCTATTAAGTGCTATCCTTTTGCATGTCTGTGAATGAGAATTAGTTATCTGTGCTCGTGCTTTAGTTTATAGTTTTGAGCTTCGCCTGATGAAGAAACGAGAATAGTGTTTTGGTTTTGAAAGTTTTAATCGATTTTATTGTTAAATAGGATATTGACTAAACTAATTTTATTGTTTTGCAAGTGTTGGTGATTGCATTATTGGGGAACTGAAGCTTATCTTGTTGTTGTAATCACTCACATGTTAGTCCTAAACTAATTTTGTAGTTTTTCTTTCTCTTACTATTGTTTTGGTTTGTTCTTCAACTTTTTTTTGTTATTTATAATGTGTTTGAGTTATATTTGAGTTTGAGTTAAACATAGTGTAATGTTTTAAGTGTGTGAAGAGTTAAACTTAGTGTAGTGCTTTAAGTATCTGAACTTGAGATAATAATTGTCAGATATTATGTGTTTGTGTTCTTGTCAGTTTGTGTTGTTGTCTTTGTGTTAATATAATGTATTATCTTGACCACAGTTAGATGTTTGAGTTTCAGATTGTGTTAATGTCTTATCTAGAACTTGAGATGGTATCTTATGGTTGAATTGTTGTTCTAAAGGTCTTACTTACGCTTAGTACATATAATGTTGGACAAGTCATGGGTCCATCTCTGCAGGTAAGGAATTAAAATACTTTAACAGTTTAAATGTTGGACAACTCTTAAATTACTTTAAGAGTTTTTTTTTTCCCTTCTATTCTTAAGAGTTGATCCTGCTTATGAGAGAGGTGCTCGAAAATTTGTACGAGCTGTGACTGAGGCTTTAGGAGACATTGATAAGCTAGTTTGTCCATGCATCGACTGCCGTAATATTGATCGTCACTCGGGCAGTGATGTGGTTGATCATCTTGTAACAAGAGGAATGGATGAGGCATACAAGCGGCGGAGTGATTGGTATCATCATGGAGAAGTGAGCTCTGGGGCTGAAGTAGAAAGCAAAGTGAACCACTGGAATGAGGAGATATTTGACTTATATAAAGCTGCTGAATATTTAGATGAAGAGTTAGCTAGTAAAGGTGACTTAGGTGAGATTGTAGAGGGTGACTTAGTTGAGATAACTGAAGGTGAAGAAAAGAGAGAAGATGAGTTTCTTGCAAAGCTAGCAGATGCGGAGACACCATTGTATCCAAGCTGTGCGAACCATAGCAAGCTATCAGCTATTGTGGAGCTGTTTAGAATTAAGACAAATAATGGCTGGTCTGACAAGAGCTTCAATGAACCGCTTGAGACATTGCCAAAGATGTTACCCAAGGAGAATGTGCTTCACACATCATTGTATGATGTGAAGAAGTTTTTGAAGAGCTTTGACATGGGATATGAGAAGATCCATGCGTGTGTAAATGATTGTTGCCTATTTAGAAAGAAGTACAAGAAGCTCGATAATTGTCCAAAATGCAAGGCTTCAAGGTGGAAGGTTAACATGCACACTGGTGAAGTAAAGAAAGGTGTCCCACAGAAAGTATTGAGATACTTTCCAATAATCCCACGGCTTAAGAGAATGTTCAGAACTATGGAAATGGCGAAGGACTTAAGGTGGCATTTTAGTAACAAGAGCAGCGATGGAAAATTCCATCATCCTGTAGATTCTGTTACTTGGAAAAAAATGGATGACAAATACCCTTCCTTTGCAGCTGAAGAAAGGAACATCCGGCTTGGACTTTCCACAGATGGATTTAATCCGTTCAACATGAAGAATACTAGGTATAGTTGTTGGCCTGTTCTGTTAGTTAATTATAATCTGCCTCCTCACTTATGTATGAAGAAGGAGAACATCATGCTTACCTTGTTGATTCCTGGACCACAAGAGCCTGGTAATAGTATTGATGTTTACTTAGAACCACTAATAGATGATTTAAACCATCTGTGGAAGAAGGGAGAGTTGACTTATGATGCCTTTGGTAAAAATATTTTTACTCTTAAGGCAATGCTTCTTTGGACTATTAGTGATTTTCCTGCTTATGGAAATCTTGCAGGCTGCAAAGTTAAGGGTAAAATGGGATGTCCTATATGTGGAAAAAACACAGATAGTATGTGGCTGAAATTTAGCAGAAAGCATGTTTTTATGTGTCATAGAAAGGGATTAGCACCAACACATAGTTATCGGGATAAGAAGGCATGGTTTGATGGGAAAGCTGAACATGGGAGAAAGGCTAGAATATTAACTGGTCGTGAAATTTCCCAAAATCTGAGAAACTTCAAAAACGATTTTGGTAATGCTAAAGAATCTGGAAGGAAGAGAAAAAGGACTGAATATCTTGACTCAGGATCTGATATTGATGATGAATCCAGTGAATCAGAAGAAGAGGAAGAAGTAGCAGTTGACGAGGAAGAATTATCAAGATGGAAGAAAAGATCCATTTTGTTCAAGCTAGAGTATTGGGAGGTATGTTTAATTGATTAACTTTCAGAATTAGTCAATTATACTATGGGTTTAAGTTTGGTTTTGTTGTATTTGCTAGGATCTCCCGGTGAGGCATAATTTGGATGTAATGCATGTAGAGAGAAATGTGGCTGCAAGCATTGTCTCTACATTGTTGCATTGTGGAAAATCAAAGGATGGTCTTAATGCTCGTAAAGATTTGCAAGAACTTGGGATAAGAAAGGATTTACATCCTAGTACACAAGGAAAGAGAACTTACCTTCCAGCAGCTCCTTGGTCTTTATCAAAGAAAGAGAAGAAAATTTTCTGCAAGCGGCTTTTTGATTTTAAAGGTCCAGATGGATATTGCTCTAATATATCAAGGGGTGTATCATTAGAGGAGTGTAAGATAACAGGTCTCAAATCACATGATTATCATGTATTGATGCAACAGCTACTCCCAGTTGCACTTAGAGGATTGTTACCAAAAGGACCTAGGACAGCAATCTTTCGCTTGTGCGCATTCTTCAACATGTTGTGTCAGCGAGTTATTGACAGGGAGCAGATTTCAGTAATGGAAGCTGAAATAGTTGAAACTCTCTGTATGTTTGAAAGATTTTTCCCACCCAGCTTCTTTGATATCATGGTACACTTGACAGTTCATCTAGGAAGGGAAGCTCGTCTTGGAGGACCAGTCCATTTTAGATGGATGTACCCATTTGAAAGGTATAGCTTCTGTTATATACTTCATCCTTTTTATTCTTGAAAACACAAAATCTGTTTCATTACTAATGTTTATATTTAATACTTTGCAGGTACATGAAAGTTCTGAAAGACTTTGTTAGAAATCCTGCAAGACCGGAAGGTTGTATCGCAGAGTCTTACCTTGCAGAAGAATGTGTGCAGTTTTGTAGTGATTTTCTGAAAAAGTCAACTAGTGTATAAGAAAAACTGGATAGAAATACAGAGTATGAGAATATCTCTATTCTAGAAGGTCGGCCTATATCCGCAGGCACTTCATTTACTCTCACTGAAATGGAGAAAAATATAGCACATCTTGCTGTCATTCAGAATATTGCTGCCTTGGATCCTTATGTGGAGTAAGTTTCTGTAATATCTTCTTACTCGATTTGTTTCTTTGGTATCCGCTGAGACTAATTGTTCATTTTTTTTTTTTTTTTTCAAGCATGCACCTGCAATATCTACAAGACTCATATCCAAGATGTAGACGTGAAGCATCACTGTTGTGGACTATGCATGCTCAGAAATTTGCTACTTGGTTAAAAGAGCAGGCAAGTAATAATATATCTGAATGGTATGCATTCATGATTCTGGTTTTCATATCCTTTTGTTTCTGACTGTTCTTTGTTTTTTTTACATTTGGTAGATACCAATAGTTTCAAATGGACATGAAGATACTCTTAAGTGGTTGGCTTATGGTCCTCGGTGTAGTGCTAGGTCTTATACAGGGTATATAGTTAATGGTCAACAGTTTCACACAAGCTCACTTCAAAGAAAAAGTCAGAATAGTGGGGTTTATTATGAGGCTACTGCTATGTGTAGATCTAGTGCTAAAGATACTTCACAAGTGTTTGATTTGGTATCATACTATGGGAGAGTCACTGATATCATACTACTTGATTACAATGTGTTTTATGTACCTCTATTCCGATGTCAATGGGCAGTAAGAGGTAATGGAGTTAAGGTCGAAGATGGTTTCACGCTTGTTAACTTGAATCAAAGTCAAGTCAGCTTCTTGAGGGATCCATACATATTAGCCTCTCAGGTAAAACAAGTGTTTTATTCAAGAGAAGATGATTCATCAAGTTGGTATGTTGTCATGAAAGGTTCTTCAAGAAGATACAGTAAGGAAGATGTTGAAGACGGAAATGCAGATATTGGACCATTGCCATCAGATGTTGACATGGATCTTGAGATGGATGAAGCTGAAAATGCTAGAACTGATTGTGAAGGCATATATGTGTCAAATGTAGCTTCTTGTTCATTTTCAGCTTGTCTTGTTTATACTCTGTCTGGTGTATGCCTAGTCTTTATTATACATCACTGTCATTTAGATTTTCTGTTAAATGTATTTTATCAGCATCAACATGTTCTAATTTATTGTTCTTACATGCAGGTGAACTGATATGGGGCGTCCAAATAAGAAGGGTGGACAAAAAAAGAAAAGTAAGGCTGCAAAAGACACTGATGAACCAGAATTTATATGTACTGTGGAACCACAGACTGAGGCAGCTGAAGTACAAGGAGAACAAGAGACTGAAGCTGCTGAAGTACAAGAAGAAGAGCATAGATCAGATGTAGACGTGACTGAAGCAGCTGAAGTGACTGCTAACAATGAGGAAGAAGCTGAAGGTGAGCTTGAGTTGACAGATGAGAATGAGCGTCCAGCTAAGCGCAAGAGACATAGAGGACCAACAAAGATGAAAAACATCGCAAAGGATCCAAATGTTCGAGAAAGAGTTGACTACACTCTCATGGGAGATCCTTATGGTCCGGGATCAGTGAAGTTGTCATCTTATGTAGGTCCATTGGTACGGGAACATGTACCAATCACAATTGATACTTGGAAGAATGTTAGCGAAGAAATCAAAACTGTTCTCTGGAAATCTATTCAGGTAATGTTTTCTATCCAATTTGAGCATTTCTTTTTTCCATAACTTAAGAGCAGTTTAAGTTTTTTACATGTTTTCTTGGCAAGTGAATGCAGGCAAGATTTGAGCTGGATGAAGAGTTTCAAAAGGTTGCTGTGCTAAAGCAAATGGGAAATTTGTGGAGATCATACAAATCCCGCATAGTGAGGGACATTAATGGGGCTACTAATAACCAACAGAGGATGAATCTGAGACCAAATAATATTAATCCAGCTGATTGGCAGAAATTTGTGAAAATCAAAACAAGTGCAAGCTTTAAGGTATTGATTTCAACTGTTATGTTTATTTGATGGTCTGTTGGTGATTAACATGTTTAATTATCAGGTTGTGAGTGATAAATATAAAGAAAGGAGAAGGAAACAGATTCCTCACACTACTAGTCGTAAAGGAATGGTCAGACTAGCAGAGGATATGGTAAGCATATTTCTACTTGTAAGTTTACAGTTATATACCATATACCCTTAATGATATTTTACCTTTTTTTCCAGAAAATTGAAAGTGGAGATCCATCAGAAGTGACTAGGCTGAAGGTGTGGGTCAAGTCGCGTACCAAAAAAGATGGTACGCCAGTGAATACGAATGCAGCTGAGAAGATTGTAAGTTGCAAATTAGTCACAGAATGTGTATTTGAATTTGGTTCTCTTACATGTTAGACTCAGAATCTGTATTTTTTGTTTGCAGAAAAAGGCAGCTGAGCTGGTTGGTAGTGATGCTCCAACATTGACAACAAATCCAGAAGAAGATCACCTCTCCCAACTTCTAGGACCTGACAATCCTGGTCGGCTCAGGGCAATGGGTAGAGGCATGAGTAAGACAAAATTAGCTTGTTTCCAAATAAAGACCAAATGTATGACTGACATGCAAGAGAAGCAAGTTCAATTGGTTAAGAAGGTCAATGAATTACAAGAGGAATTACTGAAAATCAAGAATCAGGTTAGATACTTTATTAGTTCTCAAATTATACATTTAGTTGCTGAGTTATTACATAGATTTTGACTAGTTTTAAATATTACAGAGACAAGAAGCTGAAATAGGTGAAAACTCAGCTGCTAGAGTAAGTTAGATCACATCAATGTCTGATATCAGTGATTCCTTATTTTTATTTTATAATTGACATTTTTCAAATCAATATTTTGTAGAGTGTGAACAAAAGAGCACTCCCAAAGTGTGTGTTGTATGATTGGTCTCATTGTGATGAAAACATTGCTGAGGGGCGAATTCTTTCTTCTGATCCTGATGACTTGGTGAATAACTGTCGCCTAGGCCCTACAGATCTTAAAGTGTTGGTAGAAACTGCTACCAAACCAGATGCATTCCTTTGGAGACCAGCAAGTAACATGTTCACGGTTGAGGAAGCTGTTGGACAAATAATTGCTTGGCCAGCCTCTAAGTGTGTTCTAGTTGACAAGGACATCCAAATAGAAGATATTGCGCCTCTGGTAAATTTTAGTTTTCAGCTAGAACCATATTACTTGATAGATAGAATCATGATCAATATACTGATTCAATTTCTGTTTTGAAACCGTTTGATAGGGTCTTAGAACAAATTCTCTGAACAAATGCAAACTACTAGATTTGTCTAGCGATGAAGTGATTGTTGCTGAAGGTCGTTGGCAGACACAAGAACCAAGCGCATTGGTTAATGGACTCCCTCTCGGACCAAAGGCAGTTAAAGTATTTGTGGATCAAGTCCATCAGCCTGAAACTTTTATATGGAGGCCTACCATGGAAATGACATACCTTGAGGACTGTGTTATGGCTTTTGTATCTTGGCCTGTCAGTAAAGTTGTTTTTGAAAATTCAACAACAGGTCACAAATCTCCTCTTCAGAATTCTGCAGCAACTGTATCAGGTTCTAAATCTGTAGCAGGTGCAAAATCTGCAACATCAGGCCCTAAATCTACAACAGGTACAGGTTCTGAATCTCCTATTGAGGATGCAACAGGTACAAGCTCTCCAATGAAGAAAACTCTTCCAGATTCACAGTCTCCTCTTCGAAAATCTCAGGTAGATGTTTTGGATATGTTATTAAGTTGCTTATGCTTAGTCTTCTGACTGTTGGTTTATTTATATTGGCAGCGTATTAGTAATCAAGTTGTTTCAAAGGAGAATAAGAAGTGCAAGCTGATGGATATTACCGGAAGGAAGCGGGTAGTTGCTGAAGGACGATGGGTTTCAAATGACCCAGATATGAAGGTCCATTTTGTTCCCTTGGGTTCTAATGGAGTTAAGGTGTGGGTAGATATCGTGAAGGTAAGTGATGCAGCAGTTTGGAGGCCATCTGATGAAATTGTGAGTTTGGAAGATGCATTTGGCACAACTCTTGCATGGCCAGATGACAAGGTGATCATGTGTTAAACTTCTGCTTGGACATGAGACTTGGTTTAATTTAGTATTCTGTGTTTAGTATTCAATGCTGCTTTTGGTACAACTTCTCCTTGGACATGAGACTTTTTTTTGTATTCTGTGTTTGGGCTTCTGTAATATATGGATGTTGGATTGTTATCAATGGGGATTGTCAGTACTTTTATAAAACACGGTTGTGTCATGAAAACAAGTACAATAGCATCCAAAAAAAAAATTAAAATCAGTGTCATGTAATATTTTAGTAATGCTATGGTAAAATCATCTATCGTAGCTGTCAAACTGAGTAATTACATAAATTTTACAAACTAAATAGGCGCTATGATATAATATATTACAGCATAACATACAGCTATAATAAATTAAAGTAACTCTGTTCAATATAGCTATGGTAGCGCTACATAACATAGCATGAATAATAACTTATTACATAATTAAAAACAAAATTTAACGAATTAAAACAAAGCGTTTTCTTAGAGCTATGGTAGAAGTCTCTAACATAGCATACAAAAAACACGCTATTGTATGTGTGGCACCTACCATAACTGGGGCAGAAACAGCGTTTATGAAAACGCTATAAATGACATATTATAGCGTTTCTCTCGTGATAACAATGTTGATTTTTCTTGTAGTGATTTCACTTTCTTATACTCAGTCATACACACTGATGTCTCTATATTTTACCGCTTTTAAGCACACTTTTCTCGTGCATTTAGCTAAGTTTCATCTCTTTTTCATTGCATCCATAGTCCTTTTCATATCATTTTCATCACTTAGTACGATTTGCATTGCATGGCATAGCATATTGCCCATTGGATGTGTTTCAGGTATTTGGAGCTTATTTGGGACTTAATGGATGCAAAGAAGAGAATTGATGATTCAGAGCCAGTCTGAAGTCCCTCAAAGATCGACTCAGATGGAAGTCTTGCATTGCGATTTAGCTTCAGAGCTCTTCATACAAGTTATAGGCAATTGAGCTACCTTTCCAACGGAGGTGATTTCAAGCGAATCAGAGCTTTGATCCAAGAGTTATGGTGGTTTTAATGGAGACATATGCAGAAAACTGGTTGGACTCGACAGGAGGTCGAGCAGACGCTCAGAAACCACCAATGGTTGGACTCGATGATAGTAAGATTTTACTCTAACACAAGTATCAATCCCTAATACACATGCCATTGTAGTATATTAGGTTATCAATCCAATCTCAGTGTGACTGCAAGCATTTAAGATATGAAACAGAAAGCAAATAAGTCAAGCCAATTATGAAAGGGTTTTGTGTGTTTCTATTGATCCTAAGCAACCAATTTAACATGCAAATACCGAATTTAAAAGCTTGCAAAAGAGAACGAAACAGCAAGTAAACAAGAACAAGAAGTAAACTAAAGACCAGAAACTATCATGCATAAGCTTTGGAAAAGAAACTAGCAACCTAACAATGCAGAGAAACGATCTAGGCCTAACAGGTCGAGATGGTCACAAAAGCTAACAGAAACGAGATTTAAACAATCAATAGAGATAAAAGGTCCTGAGGAATGGGGTAATCGATTATGGCAGTCTCCTTAGTCTACCTAGGTGGTTAACAAACTCAATCAAGCTATCCCTAGACAATAGATTCGAATACAAATCAATCCACTCTCGTGACAGAGATTCTCAAGCTAAATCACTTTCATACTCAATTCTCATTGAAGAAATATAACCTAGCAGGCATTATGATTCAATCTAATAAAGTCAATAAGTATTCTAAACATCCAATCTCTTGGGCTAGAGTATGCAAATCTCTGGAATAGTTGGTTCAGACATTTCATCAAACACCTTTTGGGTGTGGAAATGTCTGAGATCAACTTCCAATTGATCAGAGAGGAAATAGCATTAAGATCTACTAAACCAGAAGGGAAATCAAGCAATTCTACACTTAACCACCTAAATATACTAAGGATTCCACACCTAATCTATCCCATCCTCAAGAACCCTAATCCACTACTCAAGAACACTAAAGAACATCATGCATAAAAACCCTAGAAAACGTTTTAAACCCAGAAATCATTGAAAAGCAAGTATGTTATAGATAAGAGACAGATCTACAACTTTGTTGAAGAAAAGAAATGCAAAAACTCAAAGGATCAACAGGAAAAACGATTACAAAAACTAGGGTTTATGAGAGAACAAAGGAATATCTGCTGGGTAAAAGGAATATCCCCTGGACAATGGCATGTACCCCTATTTATAGGAAATACTAGGTTGCCCTAATTGGCTACAAGACAAAATAGAGAGTCGGTGGAGGCCAACTCGACGTGTCGTCGAGCCTGCCACGTCGAGACCATGTGATTCTCAAAGGTGGCGCCTTGATGTCCATCTCGACGTGACGTCGAGCCTGCGTGGTCGAGTCTGCTCTCAGTTGGCTTCCTGGCGTCCTACTCGACGTGTCATCGAGCCATGACGTCGAGTCTGCTCCCGGGTCATCTTGAACGACTTCAATCCTCTCCAATTCGATCCCAAGTCTAGCCCCAAGGTCGTGCTAGTTCCTCCTTGCTCCATTAAGTCCCAAATAAGCTCCAAAGTACCTAAAACTCATCCAATATGCAACATGCTATGCCATGCAATGTAAATCGTACTAAGTGATGAAAATCTTATGAAAAAGGACTATTAATGCGGTGAAACAGAGAGGAAACTAAGCTAAATGCATAAGAAATGTGTGCTAAAAAGAGGTAAAATACAGAGATATCAACTCCCCCAAACTTAGATCTTGCTTGCCCTCAAGCAAACAAATAGAACAAAGCTGGAGAAGAGGTTTGAAAGTGGAGACTCAGAACCAAAACATGCATATAGAGTAAGTGAATTCAATGTCCAGGTTGATAATTCTAGAATGCAAGGTTGACTGATCCCTACTTAAAAACATTAGCCATCTCCTTCACATCTCAACCTAACTTCTGCCTTAATCAATTCAAGCATTCAAATCAGCACATTCCCTTTAACATTGATTAAGTAGGAACCGTGAATCATACTATGCATTGGATAAGAACACATTTGGCTTAAGGGTAAAGGTTTAGAGACAAAGATGGTCCCTTAAGGATCTGGTTTAAATCGCAACAGGGGATCTCTCAAGAATGATTGAGCTTTAGTAGAATGCTAAAGGTGAGTATCAAGTTATTCATACAAGGATAAGACCCCATCTACCCAGAATGTAACCAATATAAACCCAAATGGAGGTCCTATTTCTAATCCCAGAATCATGAACTTAACTCTACCCTTTTGCACTCAAAGCATTTACAGACTTTTACTCACACCATTCCTTTCTTTTCTTTGCTTTTCTATCCTAGGAGAAGCTTTCTTACTGCTCTGTCTAGCGGATCAGGTTTCTTTGACAACTAGGATTCCCTTTTCTCTCTTCTTATAAACACAAGGCTTTTGCCCAAACTCTTTAAGCTATTTACAGAACCCTTTTTCCTTTACTTTAGCACACCCAAATCCTTTACTAGACTTCTCTTACTTTAGTTACTTCTCCTTAGGACTCTTTTCCCTTTTCTTTTCTTTCAATGATGAACACAACCTTTTCTTTCTTTTAAACACAACCCAAACCCAGAATTAAGCACCCACCTAGTCCTATCTGGTCCAGATAGCGTGAACCAGAACTACATGAGATACTATCCTTGTCGTTACAGACCTAACACTTTCTACCAAGCTCAATCGGAATAAGGCCTCACATTCACACACAAATGATAAATGGCTTGAAAGAAGGTTAAGGCTAAGGGTGGGGAATAACTGCTCCAAAGATGGGAGTCAGCTACTTGGACTAGCAAGAGTGATCAAAAGGTAAAAGAAAGTCCAAGTATTTTAAGGTATCCATGAGTTCATAGCACAATGCACAACATGATAATTATAAGTCAAAATTCAAGTTCAAATAGATAGGGAATGGCATCAGATCAAAGCGAGATTCGACTAAAAACAAGAAAGTCAAGCGTTGAATTCAAAAGATGGTGCGGTCTTACTTCAAGTTCAGTCGATTATGCATTAGAGAACTAACAACCAGGGCACTGAGTTTTACTTAGTGAATAGGCATATTTACAAGGTTATAATCATCATAATCTCCAATGCAAATGCATGATGCAACAGCCCTAAGTGAAAGCATACTAAAACAATCCTAAAATGACAATGCAAGCTATATGAACACTCTGCTTTTGTGAAATCATTTTCGAAAAAAATTCAAATTTTTATGGTTTTTCTATGCCTTAGATGCAATGATGCAAAATTTGAAATAAGAAAACAAAACGCAATGTCAAATACTCCCTGAGCCCTACAAATTGATAGTAAGATTTTGCCTTATCTAACAGGTATCAATCCCTAATACACATGCCATTGTAGTATATTAGGTTATCAATCCAATCTCAATGTGACTGCAAGCATTCAAGATATGAAACAGAAAGCAAATAAGTCAAGCCAATTATGAAAGGGTTTTGTGTGTTTCTATTGATCCTAAGCAACCAATTTAACATGCAAATACCGAATTTAAAAGCTTGCAAAAGAGAACTAAACAGCAAGTAAACAAGAACAAGAAGTAAACTAAAGACCAGAAACTATCATGCATAAGCTTTGGAAAAGAAACTAGCAACCTAACAATGCAGAGAAACGATCTAGGCCTAACAGGTCGAGATGGTCACAAAAGCTAACAGAAACGAGATTTAAACAATCAATAGAGATAAAAGGTCCTGAGGAATGGGGTAATCGATTGTGGCAGTCTCTTTAGTCTACCTAGGTGGTTAACAAACTCAATCAAGCTATCCCTAGACAATAGATTCGAATACAAATCAATCCACTCTCGTGACAGAGATTCTCAAGCAAAATCACTTTCATACTCAATTCTCATTGAAGAAATATAACCTAGCAGGCATTATGATTCCATCTAATCAAGTCAATAAGCATTCTAAACATCCAATCTCTTGGGCTAGAGTATGCAAATCTCTGGAATAGTTGGTTCAGACATTTCATCAAACACCTTTTGGGTGTGGAAATGTCTGAGATCAACTTCCAATTGATCAGAGAGGAAATTGCATTAAGATCTACTAAACCAGAAGGGAAATCAAGCAATTCTACACTTAACCACCTAAATATCCTAAGGATTCCACACCTAATCTATCCCATCCTCAAGAACCCTAATCCACTACTCAAGAACACTG